CAAAAACAGAACAAAACAAAACCATGTTCATGTTTATGTAGTTAAATCGATTACGTACCTAAGAAGCAAGCAACCCATGAGGCCAAAGCTAAGTACACAAACGCTAGCACTCCGTTCTGCATGAAGCCATCCACAACAAAATCCAAAGACTGTGATTAGCTTTTTCTGTATCTTTTCAGTGTTTGTGCATGTGTGAATGAGAGAGAGAGAGAGAGAGAGAGAGAGAAACCTTATTCACGTTATGGCGCAAATTACGTGCATCCAAATCTGAGGCTCCAGCTCTGTCTGCTCTGCCCATATTGTTTATCACCCGGCTACTTAAAACAATCACCAGGCGTGAAGTGAAGCCATCGCCTATGGCTCCAAGCAACCCCAGAGTCATCAACCACTTGTCAACTCCATCCGCATGCATGAAAATGGACCTTATTGACCCATTTTTCTTCTTCTTCTTTACTTCATAACTAGTTTTCTCTGAACTGCTCATTCTCACTCTTTCAGTCTTTCTCAGATGACAAACAACAGGTATAATTAGTAAATTATGTCCTCACGCTGCCTCCCTCCCTAATATATAACTTATTTTTCTTTTAATTTTGTTGTAGGAAGTGCTAAATTTTGACTTTAACCAATGTTAGGCTAAATGTTGACTGTTTTATAGGATCCCAATAACTTTATTTGTTCACCTTTGGTGGAAGAAGGGAACACAATGCTTAGGTGCTCACCACCTCAGATTGCATATACAACTACAGCTTTTTAATCTTTGTACGTAGACTGATTTGCCAGAATCAAAATCACCTAGTAAGAGATCCAATATTTTTGAATTTATTCTAGCATATTAAAAGCATTTCCAATAGCAGTAACAAATTAAAGTTTGTTGACCTATGTGGCAATTTGGAAAGGTTTATTTGCTACTTGAATAATTTTTGCTGCAACAGACTCTTCAATTCAATGAATGCAATATCATGGAAAAGAATGAAAAATAAGAAAACATGTGAAAAATGTCTATGTATTTATTATTTGAAAATAAAAAAATGCATGTTTTTTACATTTTAAAGGTAGGTTTTGTTTTTCCAAAGTAAAATTAAATGTTTGAAGAGCCAAAATCAACTTACTAGTCTTGAAGAGAGAGAAAGAGGTTGGAGCTTTGATGACTGAGTTTGAAGAGACTGTTGGAGAGAGTTTCTTATGTGGTTCACCTATTTTAAAATTCCAAAGTTTTTGAAGAGGCTGTTGGAGATGTTCTTATACTGCAAAGTTTATGCAAAGTTAAAATTACCCAAAAGGGGTAACCATTTCCATTATATTAACTAGTCCCTTGACACAAGCTCATAGGTGTGCCAATTGGTTTTATTTTTAATTTTTTAATTTTAGAATTAAGAAATATAAAATGGGTAGTTGTGTTCCATAAAAATAAGACTCATTAACTGATTTTGTTTTTATTCTTATTTTTTTTAATATGAAAAAGTATATATTTACCTTATTATCCTCATTTAATTTTAATTTCTTAATATTTGAATTAACCAAGAACATTTTATGGTATTTTGAATATTTCACCATTCTCGACCTTTTATTTTATATATTTAGATGAAAAACACCATTTGGTATCTTATAGTGGAGATGGATCCAAACAAAGTGACAACATAACACTCATTATGCGGTACTCTCTGTTTTTTTAATCATGCATCTCCAATAACAATGGCTTCACGTTAAATCATCCCTGCAAATTATTTGGCATCCATTTTATATAAGTTTCTTAAGATTAAGTTCTTAACTTATGTCACTCATGAGATCATTTGCGATAATATGCTTATCATTCCTTTTGTTTTTCTCTTCTTCTTTTTTACAAAAAGGAAGACCAAATTCATACGCGATATGATCATACAGATTTGACACCAATAAAAATATCATTTTACATAGAGTAAGACAGCACTCGATCAATAATACTACCTTTTGTTCTTAAAAGGGAATTATTATTCGGAGTGCAAATAACAAAGAAGAGAAAAGAAAAAGAGATGAAAGAATCTATAGAAAAATAAGTGGGCCTCGTCTTGGGCTTGAAAGAGCTCTGGTTGATTCTTAAGTGCGCAAAATCGAAGCACACAGCCATGGCGGGAAGTGACCCACTGAAGCAGCTCTTAAACTTAATTCACGATTCCGCCTCCGAGAAGTCGCACGGAAGTACAATACAATCCCCACACACATTTTCCTTTTCTGCATTTGCTTCTTTGTTTGGTTCCTGAGAAAATGTAAATGAAAAGGAAAAAAAGAAGAAGTCTTGATCTCCTTTTCTAGTCGCATTCGTTTATATAATCTCACTAAAGGCGGTTTTCAGTGCTAGTTATCCAATTACAAAAGCGACTTCAAAGGCTTTCGCTTTCACATGAGAAAACCGAACTGACGCCTCTCTCATCTCCTCCTCTCTTCCCCTCTCCGTCATCTTCAGTAGTGAAAGAAGACAGAGGTTGGGGTCTGTGGAGCAGGAAAAGAGAGGGAAAATGGACGGGATGGCTTTGGGCTGTTTTCTTTTCAAAAGTGTTTTTAAATTTATCCTCAAAAAGTAAAGCAATTGATTGCTAACTTTTTATTTATTTATTGGGTTTTGATTTTTCCGCTCCTTTTTTGTCCACTTACACTTCCTTTTATTTTTTTAATAATTTTTGCTATAACATATAAGGGAGTGTAAGTGGACAAAATATGAGTGAGAAAATCAGCTCCTTTATCAATTCCAACATTAAGTGCTAAAAGTTAGGATTCTCTTCTTGCATTCTCGTGAAAAGCTCAAGCATTGCCTTAGCATCCTCGGAGTCTAGTGCCAGACAACGTTCCTTATCTAGATGATTTCTAATGTCTTTTTCTAAAAACCCAATTTTTTTCATATCCTCCGTATTGTTTGGCCATTGCGGCAAAAATTTTACTTGGCTTCACTCCGACTGAATGCAAAGCATTAATATTATACTTGTCGGCACTGGTGATTCTTCTATTACTTGGAAAGTAGTGTATATGCTCTGGATAAAGATCATGTTATGCTCTTTGACAGAATTACAAACCAACCATTTTCCATCAAACCTTCTTTTGACTTCCAAGCTTGCTTTGCAATCTATTTTCAGGCAAGGCCATGGGTTAATAGCATCAGATTTTCGTTTTTTCCCATACCTCATACAAGCAAATTTTGCCGAAATACATTCTCCAGATGCCTTTGACTGACGACAAGATACCTTTGAGGCAGCAAATCCTTTTTGTTTGGCATACTCTGAATAAAATTCATACGCCCTGTCATCTGAATGGAATTCCATTTCACTGAAGTCAATGTCTTCATTAATAAAGCTTGCACTCTCAAATATATTAGTGTTATCTTGACTCACACCATCAACATCTTCTTCGGGCAAATTCAAGTCAATCTCGACTCCCATGGACACACCTAACAATATAGGCTTGAGATACAATATTTAGAAGCAAAAGAATAAAAAATCACCAAAATCGAATTTAATATGAAAAGAAAAGCAAAAGAAATACCCATCAACCTAAGAAAATACTTCCAAAAGATATCAATTTTCAGCACAATAATACATCCAAATGAAAAAACCATACCTTTGATCAAGACTTGGAGCGAGAGAAGCTGAAGAAGACGCTTTAGCTTTTGTGGTTGAGAGTTCAAAAGGTAGGCCCCTTCTGAAGGATAAAGCAAAGAGAAGACCATTTAGCTTCAACCAATGGCAAATATGGAAATATAATTATTGGTCTTTTTGTAATTAATAGCATTGTTTTATGTGTAAGAAGAGTGACATGTGTCAAGCAACAAAGGGAGAAGGTCCAAAGGAGAAGGTTAGAAAGAAAGTTGCTAGCGTTCCCCTTTAAATTTAGGCTTATTTACTGTAGCACCCCCTGAAACTTCGGTCAAATCTCACTTTACCCCCCCAAAGTTAAAATGACCCACTTAACCCCCTTGACCGTGGTTTTGTGTTCCACTTTCCCCCCACCGTTAACGCCATCCAAAAGGCCGTCAAAAAAGCTGACGTGGCAGGGTCATTATGGTAAAAGATACAATAATAAAAATTCAAAAATCCAAAAGAAAAAAGAAACAAAAATTTTAAAGATTAAAGTATTAGTATGGAAAAAAAATATTAATTAAAATTAAATTATTATTTTAAATACTTATTTAATTAAAAAATTGAAAAATTAATATCAAAAAATTCTCTTCTTCTCCATCTTTCTCTCTTCCCCAGCAACCACCGTATAAACCACCAGCACCACCATACCCACATACCCAAACATCAAACCTACCATCTAAATCACCATATCCATCATAGAGGATTGAAAAATTTAAGGAATTGTTTTGAAGATCAAGGT